GTTTTCCTTAAATATTTCTTTTCTTTCTATTTCTACTAATGTAACTTTTCTTTTTATTCTTTAAATCACTAAAGCAATCAATTCCCAACTACTCAATCCACACACGCCTCGAGTTTACTCGATCTCCCATCTCGGAATGGTGCATCCATCTTTTCGAAATCCTAGATCCGTCCCTGTATATAACTGCCAAATTTGTTGCTTTATTTCACTAATTATTTTTTCTTCACAATTGATTCCCTTAATCACTACCATTCCTTGTTTGCTGTCTCAATCAATTAGTCTCGAGTCCAATAGAAAGATAAAGAAGAATAAGCAAGGTTTATTTCCAGGAACCAATGTCATAGTAGTGGTTCAAGTTATCCTTGTGCTTACACTCGTGCTAGCCCTACTTGTACCTTCAGTGGCCGGGCAAGGAGGAGGAGGAGGAGGAGAACACGGAGGAGGAGGACATGCTCGAGGGATATTCTTCGGAGGACAGAGAGGTGGGCATTCAAGTCGGCATTCAAGTGCTTCATCTTACTCTAGGCATGCTTCAATCAATTTGATGATCATTATTCAAGTTCTTATGTCTTAGGAGGGAGAGTTAGATTCTAAGTAATAATGTTGAACATCTTCTTCATTTATATGTTACTAGTAATTATTGTCAGTCTAGAGTATGAGTTAAAACCAAAATGAGTGAATGAAATGTTGCAACACTTTTTAATGTTAGAACTTGAATTCTAACTTGAGTCTTACCTTCATGACCATTGTCAGGGGCATAAGCACCTTGTTTGAAGCGATGCCACATGACATTTTGATGACGCATTATGCTTTTCATAAATTGACTACATCTAAACGTCATACACGTTGCTCTGATTCATCAAAACGTTTGGTAGGTAGTTGGGCAACTTAGTTTTTTTTGTTCGATTTACCCACCCAACGTCTGATACACATATTGGACACCGACTATCAATTCCACCCGCCACCACAACCCATGCTGGTGGAGTCTGGAACTAAAATATTGTCTTTTTGGACTAACAATACTTTTTTAGGTGTAAAAAAAAAGTTACCAAAATATTTAAATCGCGCTTTACAAAAAGGTAGTTGAATAGGATACGCGGTTCACAAGAGCGTTTTCTGTTGTCTCCTTTTCACAAGACCATTTTGTCTTTCCCTAGGTCAACTATTACGCTAGTCTGTAGTAAATAGTACTAGCACAGTAGAGTAGTACTTATTTCTTTTTGTGGTTTAACCCTTTCTCTATTTTTTCTATTTTTATTTGGTTAGTACGTTTTTAAGGGTCGTGTAATTACCAGGTACGGGGTTATTTTTAGGATTAAATTTGCTCAGTGTTCCTGTGTAGATATAAGCAGAGACAAAATTAGAATTTGAAATATATAGGTTCGAATTCTAATTTGTTTAAATTAATGAGCTCTAAATTATCCTTTACAATTTATATTATTTAATAAATTTTTTAAAATAATTAATACATGGTTTGGACTAAAACTATTGGGTTCGAGTGAGCCCCAACCACAAGGCTAACTCCGCCCTTTGATATAAGATTGGAATAAAATTTATACCAACAAGGAAAGACAACAGATATTTTTGAGTCCAAAAAGATAATATTTCGGTTCCGGACTTCACGTTGGTGGGCAAATCAGTTATGTAAGTTAGCAACGGTAAAGTCCAGGTTTATTAGTCTTTGAATATTGCCACCTAAGCAAGTCAAACATCTCTCTTTGCTGCTTACGTGGAAAATACGAAAAGAAAATTAATTGAAAAATAAACTAGGGGCTCAATCACTTCTCAGTCTCCAAACTTTGGTCGATCCGATGGCGTCTCCAATCGAGCTCCTCCTGCCTGGATTTCATAATTTGCTGTTTTGATTATGGAACTAGTGATTCATTTGTGCGCGCGGTTTGTCTCTTGTTTTCCTGCTTAACAATTTCGCTTCATCTTATGATTTTCATTCATAGTTGTACTTAGGTTTTGAATTCTGGAATTGTTGGCGTGGTGATTCATTAAATTTAAGTTTTGTTCCTCACTATTATTTGTCAAATTAGAACATTCAATTTAGGGCTGTCAAAGAAATTAGGGCTTCATAGTTTCCCATACCAATGCCATGATTCCATATTTGTTAAAGACGCGAAAGAATTTTCACCAATTTTACTTAAATAAAACTAATTCAGTCATTTATGAAACTAGATTAAAGTTCTAGAGAAGTGGCGTTCCATATTGTTGATTATTCAAGTAGTGAAATGGGCGTGGTTTTTTTTTTTTTTTTTTTTTTAAAAGTCGAGGCAATTATTCCACGGAGTGCGGGAGTAGTTGCTAAAATGGTAGCTGTAACAACTCTCCGACAATGCACAAGATAAACTGATAGAAACAACGTATTTATATTAACTGCAGAAGAAAGGGGGTGAGAAGCTCAGGTATGGAGAATGGGGATGAAGAGCAAACAACACTCATTTACATTGTTCGAGTCCATTATCCCGAACCCCACACACCACATGGTCATAAGGGTGGTCACTTGGTCGAAAAATTACACTGTGTATATAGGTACTATATTACGTTTTAGAGGTATATAACGCATATTGAACACCTTTTGTCGGGAATTATTTTTACTTATTTTAAATTTGAACACCCTTGGGGAAATTCTTAGCTTTGCCACTGATCCCACACATAATTTTCCAATTAGCCAAATTTTCCCCCACCCTAGGCTCGTCATTCATATTTCATAACAGTAAGTAACTAGTTTTATGTACATTTTGCCTCTTTTTTCTCTTCAGTTATAAAAGGGATAACAATTCCTAGTGAGTCTAATCTTCATGTGATGTATGTATCAGGATCACTTTTAGTTAACTGTTTTTTTCGAGTACTCTGTGGGGCTGTAGTTATAATATGAAAGTACAATGTCACACCTAGCAGGCCGATAATTTGCTGCTATGCATTAGGCAGTTGCTCTCTCAAGCCCAATACTTGCTTAGTATATGATTTTACTGCCTCCAATGCGCCCACGTTGTATGCACCCATCTCTTATTAGATCAAAAAGAAATAAAAAAGAAATGTGGAACATTGGAATATGCAAAACCAACAACATTGCTGCGCTTATTTTAAAAAAATGTAAACCTTCTAATGTATAGTAATATGCAAAAACATGCCTTTAGGATGTTTTGCTTCCCATAACTTCCTGAAATCTGTGTACCATGCCATGTGAAGGTACAAGGTACCATATCATGTGAAAGTTGAAATCCGAATCATTTCTACCATTGCTGAGTCGTCTACCGTTATTATTGTTTAGCCCTTTCGCACTAACCTTTCCTTATCCTTCATCCTTGTTTTAGGGATTTCACTTTGCCTTTGATTTGCTTGCTTCCCTGTTCTTGTTATTTTTGCTTTAGCGAGCCTCATCGGAGACATTGTCAATATGGCTAATCTCACCGCTGGTAAAATTCTATCCAGTAGCACCTTGTACCGAAAGGTTCAAGCCTTATTTGATATTTACTACATCTCTTTGTGACAACAAGATTCCTGTTATCTCTTTGTGACAATAGAAAGTCCTGTATTCTCTTTGTGACAATAGGAAGTCCTGTTATTTCTTTGTAACAATAAGAAAGTCCTGTATTCTCTTTATGACAATGGAATTCCTGTTATCTCATTGTGACAATAGAATGTCCTGTTGGGGTTGTTTTGATTATTTCACTTTTTGTACAAGCGTTGTGAATTTCTCAACTTAATGTTTTTATATTAAATGATAAGGACAGTACAGACATTGGTAATGTTCAAGCGAATTTTTATTTGTTTCCATGATTCGTCTTTTCTTGCGCTGAAGATTTTTAGTACGCTTTGAACTAATGATGCTTTGTAGTTTGTTATTTTTCTGGATAAACTTGACGACCTTACTGCAAAGCATTCAATGCGAGAAAGATTTATTTGTTGAGGCTATGAGGAGGATTCATGTAGTGCAGCTCATCTTTTGAAAGACCCAATGGAATTTATTTGTCTTTCATTGACAATGGATTCTGAATGAAAAATAGGTGGACGAAGGAGGAAGCGCAGCGGTGGAGGAGGATGTGGCCGCAGAGCAGTGGTTGGGGTTGGGAGCTCATCTTGTAAGTTGATAATGCAGCAGCGCCATTAGCAGTCTCAGATCGGAACTGTTCCTCAGCTTCTTGCCGGTGAAGTTTCCGGTGCCGTCAACAAGACATGCACTGCACCCCTTATTATTCTCTTTCAGGTTCAAATTTTGTTCTCCTAATATTTAAGGCTAAATGTTGTAATTCTAAGTGAAAGCTTTTTTAAGCAGAAGTAATTGATAATTCTATCATCTTTTTTGGTTCAAGGAATGCACACGGATGCTGGTAGCTTAAAAAGGGCAAGTATAATGCAAGAGGCATCACGTATTGTACATGAAGAAGGGTATCAGGCATTTTAGAAGGGGAATTTGGTCACACTTTCTCAACGCTTCCATATTCCTATGTCAGCTTCTATGCATTTTTGAACACTACAAGAATGTCGGTACAAACCTTCCGTGAATTCTATATTTTAAAGTATATTACTGAGCGCCAATAATTTCTGTAGCTTGTCTGTCTAAATTTTTTCTTGTTATATAGACAAATAAAGGTGTTGTAGTTGATTTTGGGAGTTGAAAGCCAAGGAGAGAATATAACTGCAGACTTTTGTATACGACTTGTAGGCGGTGGATTATCTGGGATAACAGCTGCTTCTGTTACATACCCCTTGGATCATGTTAGTACGCGTGTTGCAGCTGGCATTTTCATCTGGATTGGGTAACAGTTTTGGTTTTGGAAACATCTTTATTTGCTAATCAAATGTATTTTTAAAATGGCGTGGAGACAAAGTCCAAAGGGGGAAAAGGGGATCAAAAGAGCTACTTTTAATGGTGTGTTAGGAGAAAGTTTTTGTTCAGTAATTGAAACAGTTATGATCTTGATAACCTGAACCAAGTTTTTCGGTTTTCCTTTTTTGTTATGTTCTAATTTGCCTTCATCTTAGTGATTTATCTAATTAGTGCTCTGCTGGATGTAAACATTCTTTTTCCTCAATATCAGATAAATCTAATGTTGCATCCTTACCACTGAACAAATATCCTGGGGGCCAATTACATTAATTAGATGGATGTGAACATTCTTTTAATCTGATGATATCAGCCTCATCTTCCATTAAGACAAGAATTAGTCTAATCATTCCCTAGGTGAGGGTGGAGGCGTCGTGAATGGAATGTGGTCTGTTGTTCATTGAAGTTTGAGAAAAGCATTAAAGTCTGTTGGGGTTTTAAGTGGAATGTGCAAATGAATCGTAGGTTTAATAACTAAAGGCGCAAATGGAGAAAAAAAAATTAGAAAGCAACAAATGGAAAACTTCAGTTTTCTATCAGTAGTGCTGGGTTTCTTGTTCCATTTGTTAAGTGTAGCAAAATTTTAATTAAACCTGTAGCTAAAACAAATACATTCTCTTAATTGGGTCACGGGCTTGGCACCACTAGTCTGAAACAATCCGTCATCCATAGTAGCGTTTGGACAACATTAAAGCAACAAATGGAAAACAAGAAATGGCATGTAAAATAAAAAAAGATGAAGCTGAATTGCCAGTACAATCCTGAGAGGAGACACAATAAGATCCATATTTACACAATAAGACATAAAGACTAGATTAATACTAAAACATAATTAAAGTACAATCACATTTCTACTGCTATTAGACTAATAGTATGTATCATGTACTACGCCGTTGTGGTGGATAATGTTGAGGGTACCTAGGGGAGGACATCTGAAGCTGAAACCGTGGAAGTACTATTTCCCTTCGACTACATAGTTGTTCGTATCTAAGGGTTACTTCATCTAATTTCCAACGCAATATGTAGAGGAAGAAACACGCCGCGAACACAAACCAAGTGTATACACGCAGCTGGAAAACATTCATAGCACTGCTCAATGATGCATCAATGAGCAAGAAGCTTAGGACTCCGAAATCAGTGGCTGGCTGAACCATCGCTACATTGCAAAGCCAAGCTGCTGCAGAAAATAATACGGCGACCATCTGAGCAGAAGATGTGAATCTGAAACTTAATTGGAAAATTATAGTCCACATTGCTCCCAAGACAAATTCCATAAGCTTCTTCCTCTCATAAATCCACACTATTAAAGTTGGCAATGTGCCCATATCTAGTCGCTCCTTCAATACTATATAAGCAATCAAAAGGGTTGGAGGGACGAGTAGATGCATCAAACGTATCAGGGTATCGGAATAATACGTCTGAGGAGGAACAACCAGATCACTGAAAATCAAACTACAAAACCCCCATAAAAAGCAATGATCCAAATACATCCGAATGGAAGGTGAAGTTGGAGTTCTGTAAGCCAATACGTAGTAAAGGACAGCAAAGAGAATAAATGCAAAGATGTAGTATACGAAATCAACTAAGTATACTAATGGATGTGGTTGTCTAAACCAAAATGATGGGCTGGTCCCGAGGATAAAAGATAAAATGGCACGGACACAACCAACAACTGTGCCAGAAAGATAGAAATTAGGACGTTGCCAACTCGGTTGAGTCTAAACCCGAAATAAAATGGATTATAAAGACTAAGCTGACTATTTTCTAACACTGGACGAAGAAGAAACGCGTATGTAAAAGCAGACAGGGACATGCAATAAGCTATGAAGTATATTACACTAATCGATAATGTAGGGTGATGATTTAAGTGGGCGGAGAGTATTAAAAACTCATAGGTAAATCGAGTACACAGTGCACTAAGTAAGTATGAGAAAAAGAAAAATATGATGGAGACGAAATACCATTGTTTTGGTGACTAAGGACACAATATCTCAACGAATGTATAACTGATGTATGAGTCCAAAGAACAGAATGAGGAGCAATTCAACATGAACCAGCTAGCAACTTCTCATCAACGAACTGCATTAAAGGGACAGTGTAATTGAACACTTGCATAAGTCTAAATATAAAGAAGTGCAAAAAGCAAAACAATGGAATTCAGATGCTGGATAAGAGGTTGATGAACCTTGAAGATAAAATGAAGGACCTGAAAAACTTGAGGGCAAAAAGTGACGTTCTGAAAAGCGAGGATGAAATCTCAGAAACTCCCGACTGCCCTCCAAATGAATGAGTTGCAATGCGCAGGATGGTGATTATGCATGTATTTTGAAGAAATCAAGCTTAACTTCCTGATCTCTAAACTATTATTTTTTTGGAATGCTTTAGAGTTTCTAGTACTTGAATTCTGATATTAGGTATTGATTAATAGTTTTAATCCGATTGCTATTGCATAGAGGGGTATAATAAGTTGGTTCTATGTATTAGGTTTTGGATTTACAATAGTATATATAATGGTACTGACTAAGAATATTGGCTTCTCCCCTCCACTGACTTTTCCTCTCTTAAAAAAAAAAAACGAACGTATAACTGTAAATCTTTTACACAAATATATAACTTTAACTGAATAAGTAACTATGCTATAACTTTAACTAATATCTATTTACTTGGTGTGAAAGTTATCTCTAATGATTTTATGCTCTGTCAACATAAGATGATTTTACCATAGCAAATAATGAAAAATGTACGTAGTAGTATTTTCCTTTTATCACAGCCAAAAAACATGATATATAATCTGTAAAATATATTAATAATGTTAAGAAAAAAAAAGAACTAACATTGTTGCTGATATATATTATTAATATTAGTAGTTGAAGCACATGGCTTTCCTTGGGTTACATCACTAAAAGAAAACGACATGAACTAGAAATGACAGTAATTGATAAAAATTGTGGTAAAGTACTGTATGGTTAATTGAGAAAATATGGGATATAAACTGTAAAATATATATTAATAATATAAAAAAATAATAATAATAGTAATATTGTTACTGATATATCTCATTGAGCATCTATTAGTGGGAAACTTACAAGAAAAGAAAGTGTTGCGTGAAAGCAGGACCTATCAATTTCACCTGCAAAATTTTTTACACACTTGATGTTTACATAATTGATGTATGACATATTGCCATATTGCAAGTTTATTCTTTATATTATCGATATGTTATATTATAAAATAATGACAAACGATATATTTTATCCAATATTATATTCATCAAACGGTACAATACAATACAAATACAATTCGATACATTATAAAATGTTGCGCAAGCGGTTAGGAAATCGAAAATTTACAGTTGGCCTTTCCAGTAGTAAAAATTCCCAGTGGCACCTTAAACTAACTGAACCTTTGCTATTCTGTCCAAACATTTCTCTTTCACTTAACGCGTGATGGTAAATAAAAAAGAAAAAGAACAAGGCGAATGAAAACATCTTAAATTTCCTTTTTAAAAATTATTGGTATATATGTCTACTTATTAAAAGAAAAAATAAGAAAATAAGCGTTGAAAATTGGATAATGTAGGCATGCAAGACTAGGCCTCATTTATCTTTGCGTAAGAAATGTCTTAGTCTTAGACTCTTAGTCATTAAAACTTTAATTGTTAATAAATGAATTTACTTTTCTTATTTATCTATCTATATTATATTAAAAACACAAACTAGCGCATAATTATGTTTATTTGACATAGAATAAATCATAATTCTAAAAAAATTAAAATTCCCTCATGTTAGATAGACATAATTAACTTCATAACTATGTGTTTCTTCCTCTAGATACTAACAAACCGCAAGACCCTAAATATATCATGAACCTAAACAACGTGCATTTATTTATTGAAAATAAATGTTCTCAAAGAATCAAATAATTGTGTTGTTCTAGAAAATAAATCTATCAAAAAACTTATCAAAAAATAAATCTAACAAAAAATATAAATATTTAAAGCATCTAAAAACCTAAAAGTTAATTGTCACATCAACTTTATACAAATTAAAATGTTTCTTAAAAAAATTTACTTAAAAAGCTGTATTATTTACTTGGTCAAATAGAGAATATCTGCAAGACTGCAACGCAATAACACAATATCTGCAAGACTGCAGTGCAATAACACAGCGTATCTTTATCATCATTTCTAAAGACAACAACGTTAGAAGTGTTATTATCACACACAACCAAAAAAAAAAAAAAACAAAAAACAAAAAACAAAGAGAGAACTTACTTCGATGAAGTTAATGTACGTTGGATCAATAAGTAAAATACCTTAAGAATATTTTTCCAATTTCTGATTGTGAGAGCAACCAATACAAAGAGGTCATAAGATGTTTTGCCTTAGAAACCTTCGAGAATAGTTTTGACTAGGGTGAATATAGGTCGGATTGGTTTGGGTTTTTTAATTACCAAACCAATTTAATTGTGTCAGGTTATTAAATCTAAACACCAAATCAAACCAATAAAATTCAAGTTTTTTAATCTCGATTTTTCTCGGATTTTTTCGTTTATTCGGGTTTTTTTTTCATATGATTTTCATAGCACAAAACATAGAATTTGTGCTCCAAATATTTCTTTAATTCTAGTAAGACATAACTATATAAGGTGTTTTCAAGAAACTAATATAAAACATGAGATGAGTCATGTTATTATACTAAAAATTCAAAAATAAAGATAATAAATCACATAAAATAAATATTATTAATAAGCCACAATGAAAATAACATAATCTTAAATTACTAGTTGCTAAAATAAGGACGACTAATAAGTACTATTATTTACATGACAAAATACTAAAAAAAATAAAATAATAAGTTGTGCATTTTATATAAACATTGGAAAAACTAAATAAATAGATATATGTCATTCCTAGCAATTGAATTGAAAGTCTTTTGTCAGCATTAATATTGATTTGATTTTGGTTTGGGATTTGTTTGAGTTACTAACAATTACGGACTATAAAACTTATTGGAGTATTCAAAAATTATTAGTCCAATTGCCTGAAATAATACGCTAAAAGATAAAATTATGAAAAAATTTAAGAAATATTTATAAACTACACTAGAATAAATATTTTTATGTATTAAATATATTTAAAACGTCTATACATGTAATGTCGGG